GCATGTAGTGGTATCGTCAGTATCTAATATTCCTTTCCCAGATGCAAATTCGTACACTCAACAGCTACGACTTGTCTATAGCCGTTTTGTCAAAACCGCCCTTCACTCGATCCCAGATGAAATGCTATTCTCTTCCGCAATACCGCGTAGAGTAAAAATAACACAGGGCAAAATGTTTTAACCTTCCTGTTCAGTCCTATCCCAGGCCGCCATATTCACCTGGCCTTCCATCAACTGATTATTAACTTTGTCAGTCGGTGCAAAACGCTTTGATATGGAAAACATTCTCGAATGAAATCAAAATTCAAAAGTTCCTCGACAAGTTTTTCACGTGAAAAAAGCACGGAATGTTACTATCACTGCAAATAATGGCGAATAGAATTGAATACAATGTAATTATTTTTTTTTTAGAGGATAAAGTCGATAAACAAAATCAGAAATGATGTATGACTTAATGTAACAAAAATTTACATATCGTCTTTAAAGTACTCCAGTTAGACATCTATCCTGGGTATGACGATAAACTACATCCGGCAGCCAGGCCTCTGATCAGGAGGTTTTGAGGAGCAGGGAACCACGTCTTAATTGCTGTTGTTCCAAGGCCCAACCTGTTCGGTCTTGGCCTTCCCGCTAACTTGGAGCATGTGCATGTAAATTTTGGTGCAAATCCGTCGAAAATTGCGGCCGTGCATTCGTTACACACATACATCCTGCCTTTTATAGATAGAGATCTGCTTTCACTGGTTCTCAGATTCCATGAATTCAAGCGCCCTACGAGGCTGGCATCCTGGTCCCACCCTTACACTATAGAAATTTTTAAATGTAGCCGTCTCTTCTACTCCAATAGCTTCATATCTCGCACCTCTCGCCTGTGGAACACCCTTACAATTATTGTTTCCCTGAAAGCTATAATCTCCAACTATTCATATGTAATGTCAATTGACACCTCCAGTTACCTTGATCTACCCACTATCCCTCTCCTCATCCTTTCTTCTATCACTCCTATCTGCTCTTGCTCCAAATCTTCTGCAACCCCCTGCATCCTAGTGGCTTCACGCCTTGCTCGGGGCGTAATGCTTAAAAAAATGTAGAAAAAAACAAAAACAAAACGAAAACAGGTTCATGTGCTTTAAGAATCAAAGCTACATTATGATTTGCGCTTTGCCTGAAGAATATCATATTTGGTTGTGGGTTCCGGACAAATTTTGGACCTTTCCATATGCATGCGCCTAGCCTCCCTACATTAAACCGGCCTTGTGCCATATCCGGTCACCGTAGGATAGACGAGTAAAAACCAAGTGCAGTGTCAGTTCATCAACTCACTGCCATTTTTCTAGACTCGGACAATTCATGAAAAAAGCTTTGAGCGATATCTAGTTCCAGGTATTCAAGCCATTCAGCAGCACCTCCCTCTTTGCCCTAGAAAGGGAGGGTTGGTGAAATACCAACGCCAACGTGACAGTGGTCATGGGGACTGGAAAAGTTTTGTTCTTGAACCATATGGACACGTATGGATACCACACACTAAAAAAGACTGTGTATCATGTAGAAGAGGTCCTTTCTTTTCAATTAGTGTTCAACAGATCTTTCATTTTACCGATGAAAAGATTGTACGACTGAGGAAGATAATAAAGAAAAGGAATCTAGGGAGAGTCGTGTTCACCTACATCCCGAATGGTCATAGTCAGGGCCGGATTATTTGTTAGTCAATAGCCTAGGGCCGCTCAATATTTTATAAAGTAATGATTTTAATTTTCTAGATGTTATAACGTCTAAGTAGTTTCATAAACTGAAATATCAATATGACAATATTTAGCTTTGTAGGGAGCAAAGTCAAATAAAGAATGTTTTAGTTTGTGTCATTGTATTTTCAGTAGATAAAAAGTTTGATTTTAGGTGAGAATATTTAAATCTTAGACATTTATATAAAGCAGTGATTGTAATTTTCTAGATTTTATAACTTCTAAAGAGTTTCATAAACTTAACTGATATCAATATGACAACTTCATATTTATTTTCATTGTTTTATTTTTATGATACTGGTTATAAAAATATACATTTTTGCTACGGTTGTGTTGAAATATATGCTAATTTGGAACTAAATAATAATATAATAATATTTCTTAAAGAATAATTTCTATAGACAAACAAAATATATTTATACTAGTTTGTTTAAAGAATTTGCAGTATACTTCAAGCTATATAAATGTCGTTAAAATATTTCACAAGTAAAAAATATTGAAGATGTGTGCGGCTAGTTAAGAGGTATTTCTGTCTAAGGTGAATAATTTCATTAGCGCCTCAAAAGGTCATAATACGGCTCTAGTTATAGTATTTATAAAAACCTTAACGCTGATGCTATAATGATACGATTGTTCTTTATAATTACCAAGTAAAAATAATTTTATATATTAATCAGAGGAAGTTTAAAAAAAAAAAAAAAACGAAGCTAAAAAGTGGGCAGACGCCATTTTCTCTTCACAAGCGTTTTAAGGAACTCCAAAACTAAATAGATAAGCAACTGAAACGATCTCAGAAGCAAATTAAATCACCCAGAGGCTAATTATGTTTTTTCCTCGTTTTATCTCTAAAAAAGGATTATGATCAAAAAGCCCGGACAAAACTTAGCGAATATTTTTTAGAGAAAATTGACTCTCCGTTGGTTATTATTGCAAATAAATTACATGACAAATGTTTCTTTCAACTTCTCCGACAGTAGAAGTGTGATTGAATACTGACAATCTTGCTTGGATAAATTTTGATAGTTTAAATATCAAGACGATGGCAAAACAAATGTATCAAGTAAACAGCCGTTGACAGAGTGCAAACTGATAAGAATAGTTGATCAATTTTCCTAGATAACGTGGCAGATACTGTGAAACTACGCATGCGCGTGTGTAACAGTGTTGACAATTTAATGAATAGTAAGTCAATGCGTGAGTGGAATCATTGCCAGTAGTAGATTTTTAAAAAAATGCACGGGTTTAAAGTTGGTGATGATGCTGGTATCGAAATTATAAGTCAAAATCGAATATGCTTCATTTCCGCAATTAACATAGCTTCAAAGTACACCAAGATTAACATGAATTTGTAAAGAGAATTATATATAAATATATACATATGTGTGTGTATGTGTCTGTGGGTGTGTATTTAAAATAGGATATAAAATCCCGACGTAGAAGTTTTTAATACATTTGTCAAATGGAAAACAGTTTCATTGAAACTAGATTTGATTACGCGTTTCGCCTTTCTAGGCTTCATCAGATTAAAAAAAGAAAAAAGAAAAAATGTGTATGCGTGTATTTGTTTTTATTCTTATATAAGGAATCATAGTATTTTCCCTAAGCCGGCGTTTCTCGTGATTAATGATAAGAATGAAAATGATTGACTTAAAAAAAAGCCGCTTATATGTGAATACATAGAATAAATATTAACTGTGTTTTTTAAAAGTCACTCATTTTCATTATTTTCTTTAAGTGCGCGCACACACGCACACAGACACACACACACACACACACACACACACACATATATATATATATATATATATATATATATATATATATATATATATATATATATATATACCCACACACACAGGAAATCAAATCAAGTTTCAATGAAACGTTTTCCATTTGTCAAATATATATAGAGGAGGAACGGTGGATTAATGGATAGTGGCTCAGATTGAGAAATCAGAGAGCCGAGTTCTAATTCCAATTGAATCCATTACATTCACTTACGTGCTAATATCCTTGGGAAAGGTATGAATTCTCTTCTTCTCCCCGCCTGCTATGGATAAATAGCAGGACAGACTGGGTTCTATAGCCATGGATGGCAACTAGTCTATCGTAGAAAGAAATGGCAACCTACTGCGGGAAAAAAATCTGCCTCGTCAGTCATGTATTGGAAGATACATGATTGCCTATGCGCGTATCACGCATGGTACATAAATGAATACCCGTTTTCCTAAAAACTGGGAACAAGCCGTTGAACGATAGAGAATATCGTAAATATTTTTTTAAGCCAAATCTCGTAAATGTTACACCGATATTTGTGGTCAGAACGTGAACTCAGGGTAAATAGCAGGAAAGGTTCTATAGCCTTGGATGGAAACTGTTCTCTGTATTCGGCTCTTCAAAATGTGTGTTTGGTTCTGCGCAAAGCCTTCACCACTAGAAACAAATCATATGTGAAGGTGCCTGGCTGCTTGACCCTCATACGTCGATAAACAACGGCATACACACACACACACACACACACACACATATATATATATATATATGTAGGTAAAAATCCGTGGGTAAGTAATCCCAGTTAATCCTAATAATATAAAATATTAAAACTGATCCACAAATAGAGCTCAATGTATTTATTTATATAAATAAATTACAAATAAATGAAATTCAAAAATATCCCTTGTATATGTGTGTGTATGAAGAAGAGAGAGAAAGATTATTCAAAGATAATCTAATAATATAATTTGAGAGAGTGATAGAGAGAACTATATATATATATATATATATATAGAGAGAGAGAGAGAGAGAGAAAGAGAGGGGTAAAAAATACACAATGATTGACTAATATTTTGGAAGAGTGAGCAAGAGATAGAAATCATGAGAGAGTAAGTATACAAGGACCGAATAACAGAGAGAGAGAGAGAGAGAGAGAGCGATAAAAAGAATGAGAAAGTACTCAAAGTATTCAAGGAATACCAGGAAATCCCAATATATTCACGTTTCACCACTTCTCAAAATCACTGTCAAACACCAAAAATGATTTTGGGGAGTTGACTAATGAAAGTTTTTCAGCGCCAACTTACATATCTTTAAAGTTCTCCAGTTAGACACACATATATAGTGATATTATAAAGGACACTGTGCACAAATAGTACCCGCTAAAGTTCATAGTACATTCGGTTATTGTGTCCTGTTATAAATTCCCTATCTATCTATCTATCTATCTATCTATCTATCTGTGCAATCTTTCAGCTACGCCAAATTGAAACACCGGTTCTCGTATGATCACCAAAGTTAAGCAACGTTGAGCCTGGTTAGTAGCCAGATGGGTGACCGTTGTGGAATACCAGTTGCTGTAAGCTTGGATGAGTTCTAATTCAGTTGGGTTCATTATATTCACTTACGTGCAATTATCCTTGGGAAAGGTATGGATCCACCCCTTCTTCCCCCTCTATGGGTTAATTAGTAGGACTTATACCATTAAATCATTATTAACTCAAAATAAATTTCTTAAAAACTAAAAATATTTTCTGGATTTACAAAAAACTTCAAAGGGCTGATAAGCCATAGAGAACGAATCAATCAAGCAAGATATACATACATACATATATATATATATATATATATATTATAAAGTAACTGGTTACAATATGGTTTTTTCGCTACACAGTAATAACCATGTTTCAAACATGGAAGCTAAAAACTTCAAAATTAATTTTGTAATTAAATTAAAAACATTAGTCCCATTTCATCTTCAAGCGAATATTTAATATTTATGCTCTGTAAATTTACATTGAGCACTGTTTTGTAAAAATAAAAATATCAATAACAACATCGGACTATATATCTTATTGTTCTTTCTTTATATATATATATATATATATATATATATATATATATATATATATATATATATGTATATATAATTATTTATTTTAAAAAATTATAACATAAATATGTTATAAAATCACTGCAAAAATAATCATTTTGTTTCAACACCTCCGGCGCACTACACTGTATTGAGCACTCCTTTAAGAATAGTAATTGTTGGTTATTGAATTCATTCCGTATACACCAATTATATACTTGATATATATATATATATATATATATATATATATATATATATATATATATATATATATATAAACTATCTATGCACATATGGATCTTTCTCTTCAACAATTGTCACTTCTAAATGAAGGTATGTTCTTCGTTTACAATCAGGTAGGAATATGTGGGAAGGGTAACAGTTATCGGCGCGTAAAGTAGAACCGGCGAGCAGATTTAAAATCCCGGTACGTCCTGCTGCGTTTACCTCAGGACGAGTAGCCTTTGGAAAGCCATGAATTCATCTTTTACCCATCCTCCACCTAACATGAGAGAAATAGCTGTGTAGACTGGCCTCTACAGCCGTATCTGAAAGCCAACCTTAGAGAAAGATCACTCGTAGAGAAGGCAACGGTAAATCACTCCACAGTCATTGACAAAATGTTTATGACAATTTACAGATAATAAAGAAAAGGAATCTGTAAAGAGCCATAAACGCCTACTTCCTGAATAGTCATGACATTTTTTCTTTAAAAATCATAATGTTGACGTTATTATGATACAATTTGGTTTTGCAACCATCAATTAAACATAACTTTATATCTTAATCGTAGAAAGTTGAAATGATAAAACGTACATAAAGATAAAAAGAGCGTGTATCTTTAAGGTCAATTCTCTTCAAAAGAAACTTTGGAAGAAACTTGGTTGGAAACTAAATAAATAAGAAGCTGAAAAGTTTTCTAAATTAAATCAAATCTCCCCGAGGCGAATCGTTTTCTTTCCTCATTTTATCTCTATCCGTTAAGAACTAGCTCCATCGGATTTCCGTTTTTACTTTTTCTCTTCCGTCTTCTAACAACTTAAAATAAAGTCCTGATTGTTACGACGAATTCACAGGTAATTAAAGCTTAAACTCGAATCCATTGGGAGTTTCTTCTTGTGATTAATCATTGATGAGCAGTTTACGCGAGCAGAATGCAGGCGAGCAACTTCAGCAAGAAATTAAAATGGCACACTTGTTGCTTTGTTTAATTAATGTAACGGACAATGAAAAGTTTTGCAATTTAATCAGTAAGACAACAGATAGGAAATGGCTACAAAATCGGACGTTTTATCTATGTTACTCGGTAAGTTATGAGTTTTACTTCAAACAGATCAAATGTGAATTTATCAAAACAAACAAACAATAATTAAAATTTATCCTATTTACATCCTTGTGCAAATTAATTGAAACAACCGCTTTAGTTTCCTTTCTTTCACCATACGGTCAGTTTTAGAACCTCGGGGTGACAGGGTGTAATCTATTTATATTTTTTCCTCAGATTTGGTCATTTGCAGTGGTGTGCAGTAATATAAATCTATTTTAGAGGCGTATGAAGAAATCTGTTTGGCCTTGAAAAATATTACGTCATACGTGATTGAATCAGATTTTCATCATGCTCAGACACTATTGTCTCGACTGTCGATTAGTTGTCATATGTCCATTGCCTGCGATGGACGTTACTCCAAGGAAGCTTACGAAAATTGCGGGAACACAATGGCAATCCTTACCAGTGAGAAAATCAAATTACTATAGATTGGCCCGAAACTCTTCTGATTTAAATCCAATCGAGAATCTGTGCTCAAACTTCAAGCAAAGATTTCGTGGAATGGACATAAAATACAAAAAAAAAATGTAAATAATGACGGAATTATTCGTTTTGTTTCAACTAATTTTCACAATGGTATATATGCGGGCTATTGTCCTCATATTTGTTGTTGTTATCACTAAATTACAGCCGTTGTGCCCTCAGGCCTTTTATCAGTTGCATATCAGTCCTGGGTATAACGATAAACTACATCCGGACGCAAGGACTCTGATTGAGCGTTGGATGCTTTGGGGAACGTAGAACCACCTCTTAATTGCTGTTGTTCCTAGGTCCATCCTGGCCCGGGATGGTCGCACCTGTTAGGCGCTCCAGTTATGAGTAAATAGAGAAACCCCAAAGAAAAACCAAACGCTATGAAAGTATAAAAATACATTTTTATAGTAAAATTACATATTTATAGTAAAATGATCAACAATATATATTTATAGTGAAATGACCAACAAAACTATTTATAGTAAAATGACTAACATTACCAGTTTATAGCAAAATGACTAACAATACATATTTATAGCAAAATTACCCAAACTACATTCTATCTGTAGTTGAAGGCATGCTATTGCGTTCAAAATATATTTAGTTAAAGTCATAAAATTGTGTTCAAAATATTTAGATTTCAGCATTAAATAACTCATATAGATGTTGATATGCCGTTAAACAAAATCAACCAAATGTAATGTCAATCCGGGTAACCTACAGTGAATTCAGGGGAGATTAAACGAGCAATAACAGAGCAGTACTAAGAATAAGAATTTGACGATAGACCCTTAGACATGGGCAGTGGAACGAGAACAGTCTGGCCCCGTAAATTAAATAAAGGGTTCAGTTCGGAATTCTCTGTAGGTTACCCGATTCGGCATACGCATGTTGAAGGACGGAGGTCACAATGGCCGAAACGTTGTGATAACAACAAAAAAAGACAAGTGCAAAAGCCCGCATTTAAATCTATATCTATAATTCTCAAAATGTGTGTGTGTATGTGTGTGTGTCTGTGATCCTATGTTGTTTATGCATTTTCACGGTTTTCATCCGTTTTTACTGATTTTTTTTGTTTGATAGATAATTCTTCAGTGCCGATTTTGAGTCCAAATTGTTGGCGACAATGGCCCTTCACTACTCCATTATAACTCTCAGCAACGATTTACTATTTACTATCTGTTCTTGGATATATATCTTTCATAAAAAAACTTTAATGAAAGTAAATAGTTTAAATTAGTACAATAATATTATTTATTACAGTTCCCTTTTCAGGGCCACCCCCATTCAAATTGTTAATCCACCCACAATTTGGGGTTGTGCCTCAGTTGCACCCAAATGTTGTTAATATTGATTTTCAGGTGGGCTGACTTTAAACTTAAACTGCTCCAATTGAACGGCAAAAATTCCCAGTAACCTGAGCAAAGACGGGTTATACTGCTAGTAGTGTATATAATGATAACTCTTCATTTCAAAAATTCAGATAAAAACAATAATTACATTAAATAATTATCACAAATAAATTAAAAAACAATGAATGAAAACAATTTTTCTGACAATGCCGGGAATTGTTTTGTAAACGGATTGACAAATGTGCAGTAAAAATCTATGAATCTATTTTCGCGGGGTATGATGAAATTTGTTTGGCCTTGAAAAATACTGCGTCATCCGTAATTGCATCAGATTTTTATCACGCCAAGACACTACTGTCTCGACGGTCGATTAGTTGTCCTACGACCGTTGTCTGCAATGGGCGTCACTACAAGGAAGCGTACGAAAATTATAACGCTGCACGAACACACTGGCAAGCCTTACTCGTGAGCAAATCAAAGTACTATCGACTGACCCTGGAAACTCTCCTGATTTAAATCCAATCGAGAATCTGTTGCTAATCTGCAAGAAACGACTTCGTGAAATGGACATACGAAGTACTAACATGTGCATTGAGTTATGTATCATTGGGAAATATTGTAAAAAAATGTAAATAATAACGGAATTATTCATTGTGTTTCAATTATTTTGTACAAGGGTGTACATCTTAGTTTTATTGATTTTGTTTTTTTTACGGCTTATCAACCCTTTGCAGATTATTTAAAGCCAGACAATATTTTTAGACTTTAGAGATTGATTTTGTTTTTTTACGGCTTATCAACCCTTTGCAGATTATTTAAATCCAGACAATATTTTTAGACTGAAAGAATTTCTGGGCGATGATTACTTATACAAGTAATTTACCCATAGCTTGAAGGAGAAAAAGTGGATCCATACCTTTGCCAAGGGTATTTCCGCGTAATTGAACATAACGACCTCGACTTCCAATTTCGAGACGTTATCCATTACACCACCCACACATCCAAGCTTACAGCATTTGGTATTCCCAATCAGTCACCCACCCTAGTTTCGACGATGACTGACTTCGGTGATCGTATTGGAACCGGTGTTTTAACATCATATGGCCGTAAACTTACATTTCAGTTACAATAAATGACTCAGGCTGCTATGACAGTGCAATGTGCATATTTGTGTGTAAAGTGAAATTTTTACAGCAATTTAATAAAGAATAAGCAATAAAATAAAGAATAAGAATATATTTTTTGCAAAGTGGCGAAAGAAATTTAATGAAAGAGACTCACTTATTAAGTTCATAAGTAAAATGTAGAACTTCGTTTTCTTTTTAAATTTAGCCTG